GCAAAAGGTTCGCAATGAAGGACTACCTCCGAAAACACGTGTCAGCCCAACACACGCAATACCGGTGCCAGACATGTACCCAAACATTCACGTTATCGAGTGAACTTAACGAGCATTATAGGGCTAATCCGGAACATATGAAACACCAGTGCTCTGAGTGCGGTAAACGTTTCAGAAGGAAGTACTATCTCAACCATCATATGGATGTCCGGCACCCAACAGACCGACCCTTTGAGTGCCCACACAATGGTTGTGACAAACGGTTTAAGACACAAGAAATTCTGGCCACACATGAGAGGAACCATATGGAGAGCGCCCGCAACAAGATCTGCGAGTGGCCGGGCTGTGAGGCCGCCTTCAAGGACATGAGTGCACTCAATGTGCACCGGACTATACATCTGGGACTCCGGGACTGTGTTTGCGAATATCCCGAATGCGGTAAAGCCTTCCGTACAAAGGGAGCCCTTACTGTACACTACGAGACACACAAACCCGTGAAGAAGTATGTGTGCAGTTGGTCCACATGTGAGCAGTCATTCTCTACCAGGAGTTCATTGAAGGCTCACCTCAACAAACATGAGGGCAACCGAGCATTCAAGTGTCCATTTGATGGCTGCCAAGTGGCCTACTATGGACCCAACTATCTTAGAAAGCATTACCAGAAAGTGCACCACAAGACTATGGATCAGGTGAAGCAAATGATGGCCAACACTGACGCCATTGCGTAATCACTTCTAGTATTATATTAATTAATTATACCATATATTTACTTTATTTTAATGACCTTTACAATCAAATGAATTAATTTTTTATTTACACTAATATAAATTAAACATTTACCGGTAATATTAATACAATTTTAGTTTATATTTGCATTGAAATTGTCTCATAAGGCGTAATGAATAGCTTTATGTGTTTCGAGACTTTTATTAGTCTTGAAAGTGGTGTCACATCCGGGCCACTCGCACACAAACTTGTGCCCCATATGTACGCCATTAGTATGTCTGCGGAGCTCCTGTCTTGTGGTAAATCGTTTGTCGCAGTCCTCATGAGTACAGGCGTACGGCTTAACACCGGTGTGTCTTCGCAAGTGTTCATTCAAATGCTTTTTATGTCGCGTCTTATAGTCGCAGCCCTTGTAATCGCATTGGTATTGATTCGAGTGCTTNTCAAATGCTTTTTATGTCGCGTCTTATAGTCGCAGCCCTTGTAATCGCATTGGTATTGATTCGAGTGCTTCTCAATCACATGTGAATTGATCTCTTTCTGTGACACAAACTCATTGTCGCACTTCTGGCACACAAACAGACCGTTGCGGTTGTGGACGCACTTCAAGTGCTCTTTAGTCTTGTCTTTGGAAACGCTGACAAACTGACAGTCACTCCAATTGCATCGATAGCCCAGTGTTTGCCCCGAATTGTCATTCAACTGAACCACTGTTTACGAGACAATTAGACAATAATTCAATCGATAATTAAATCTTAAGCCAAACCTAATATCAATTCATTGTTGGGATCTCTTTTAGTGATAATGAGTCCGTCCTCTTCGAGCAGATAATCGCTTTCAGACAAGAACTTCATGTTTGTTACCATTTGTCGCTCACTATTATCATCATCAGATCCATTGTCTGACTCATCATTAACTGGTGTCTTGTGTCTCTTATTCTTCGAGCTATTCCTCAGAATCCGTCGTTTAGTGTCTGGACTCGAGTCGACCTCCACTTCGGTGTCATTCGAGACACTCTTCTTCATAATGCCTTCGAGTGGTGTTATCTGAGTGTTGATCTCGTGCTGAATGGACTCGTATTGTTTCTCCATGTCTTGTATCATCTCTTTGTGGCCATCAGTCTGTTGTCTGCAGACACACAATGCGTTCAAATCCATCAAACATTGTCTGTATTTAGCCATCAATTCAATGCATTTTTGTGACACAATTACTGCGGACATGAGTCTCTGGTTCTCATCACTCAACTCATGGAACAGATCATTGATCACCACTTTAGCCATTGTTTAATCACTTATTCTTCTAAGTTAAGACACCTTTCAATTTACTGTTAACTCAAATGAATTTAATTAAAATAACATTTACTTTGAAATGTCATACGTTTTCAAAACTAATGTTTACTTTTGCAGTACAGGTATAACAAAACATTCACATAAAGTGTGACTCAAATACTTTATTTTGAAACCCTTGCTGTCAATCAAATGGCAAATTAATTGCAAATACACTCACCTTTTCTGTACGTTATATCACAATAATTCAAATGAAAAAACTTTTTACAAAACTTTTAAATGAATTTATTTGGACTTATTATCAAAGTTTTTAATGTCATAATAGACTGAAATTGATAGTAAATCTACTTTTAAAAGCACTTCAAAAGACAATATTATATTTAATTGAAAAGTTTTACAAATGTATCAAAAAATATGCAAAAAACACACAAAAGTAAATCATAAATGCATTCAATTGTATATTAGATCCACTGTTCAGATAACTAAAGCGACTCTTGGGGTGACTTTCGGTAAAATCTGAGGACTCAAAGCCATGTCTTTCAGACACTTTATCCATCACTTGTCGCAGATCTTCGAGCGCTTCCACCGCCTTATCCTTATCTCCATTCATACCATTCATCAAACTGTTCGTCACTTTCATTTGATTCAGAATTTCGTTAAACGATTGCTTAAAGTCCGAAGACTTGCCGGAAGTGGTGTTCACATTGGATGCCTTACCACCAGAAGCTATAATCTGAATTAACTCTCTGTTCTCAGCACTCATTCTCTCGTTGTCTTTCTTCAAGAACATGAGCTCTTGTGTCACCACTTTGTCCTCCGATGCCTTCATCTCACTCATAGTTTTCATCTGTTTCTGGAGGTCTTTGAAATCGGTGTCAATCTTCTGCATCGCGGCCACCGATGTCGCCAACTGTTGCCTCAACTCTTGCATCTCATTATCATTACTTTGGATGGTATCCGCCAAACATTGTGTCCGTACGCCCCACACGTACCACTAACAGGCATATGGTTATGGACTGTATGACCAGTAAAACCAATAGTAAAAATTGACGCGTTTTTTAAGTTTTGCGGTCCGACTGTCAGTCCCATCACCAGTACCGCCAGTATTGAACATCCTCTCCAATTGTGGGTACAATTTGTTCACCATCAAAAGTATTAATACTTTTATTTATTTTATTATCAATTTATCATATATTATGAATGCATGTGCTTTAGTGTATTACAACTTGTAATTTACAAGTTGTCACTACACCAACCAAAACTAGTTATCAATACCTTGTAATTGCTTCTCATCAAAACTTGTAACATTGAATCGAGGTGTCAGGCAGATTTTATAAACTAACTACTTTGGATTCATCAAGGAATGTCCTTTCACATTCAATTCAATCAAAAGTGCCCTGCCCCTAATTGCTTACTTGTTGTCTGAGATCACTGGTTCCGCGAAGTTTTTTCGAACTTTGATCCAGATGCTTTTCTAAGACATACAAACTTGCGTTACATAACTCTTACTGTGAGGCCATCTATGAGTTGCTCTCACATCTCAGTACCTCTTCAGCTGTTTCGCTGATGCAATGCTTGCCATCAGTTCACTGATCACCACATCTTAACCACAATTATTGTTTAGTGTCTCAAGAATTTAAGTTTTCCATTCACTCCATGTGTCAGTCATTGTGTCAATTCGTGTCTTAATGTCCATCAAAGTCAGTGATAACAAACTGTTGACAATGAGTGACCACAAGAAGTCTGATCTCAACCTAACACCCGTCCAGCGGCTGATGAGCTCATGTATGGGCGCCACAGTCACCGCACTCTGCAGTCAGTTATCTCAGCAATGGTTCACTCCATTGACACTTCAATCCATGCCTTCATTTAATCCAATTATTGTGTCCAACGATTAGCTACTCCTTTAGATGTCGTGAAGACTCGACTTCAGGCGCAACAGAAGGACTCGTTGACCGCAAACAGCAGCCAAAAGGTGGGCGCCGGTAGGCATGCGATTAAGGGATCGGCAGTTGTGGCCAATCGACTGAACGGACACTTCGGAGAGACGTTTGTTTGTATTGATTGTCACCAAACAGTCTAAAAGTTTTAAGTGACAAATGAATCGCTTTTATAGGAAATGTTTGTCAAAATGAGTCGAACCGAAGGCCTGACCTCTTTATGGAGTGGACTCCCGGCCACACTGTCTGTCCATTTCATGATTACTATAGTTATTGCAAAATACAGTTAACTCTCGCTATAAGTGTGTGAATGTATGTCACAATTAATGCCTTAATTGCAATGCATTTATCGCTATATCGAGAGTGGACTGTATTTGAGATAATTGTTTGTAAAGTGTTTTAACCGTCAAATGCATACCACTTAGAGTGATGGCAGTGCCGGCGACTGCACTATATTTCGCGGTTTACGATGAGTTACGCGAATCCCTTAACCGGAGCCTACAGTTAGCCCATCAGCCCGTATGGGTACCCGTCCTTTGCGGAGGAGTGGCTCGCACTCTGACCGCCATAACCGTCAGTCCCATCGAAATGATTAGAACTAAATTGCAGTCAAAACACATGACATACAGACAAGTGGGTCGAGCGCTGGACACTCTGGTGCGGACTCAGGGCTATCAGTCCCTATGGCGTGGTCTCAGTGCCACCATTCTGAGGGTCGTTCCCTTTTCGTGCATATATTGGGCTAACTATGAGTTCCTGAAGTCGCGATTCAATGACACACTAGAGCCCACATTTATGATGAGCTTTCTGTGCGGTGCCGGCGCTGGAGCTGTAGCCTCAGTGGCGACTATTCCCTTCGATGTCGTCAAAACGCACCGACAGATCGATTGGAGTGATTCACGCCATCAACGAGTTTATCATATTTTACGACAAATATACCGAAATCAGGGCTTCAAAGGACTGTTCGCTGGTGTCGTTCCCCGTGTTATTAGGGAAGCGCCGGCATCTGCTATAATGATCAGTGTATACGAAGTGTCCAAAAATTATTTTAGACAACAAAATGCATTAAAAACTCAATCCATTTAATGCATTAATAGTTTAGTTTAGATTAAAGGACTTATAGTTTTTGTCTATTTATTAATCAATGTTTAATTGATTGTTTAAACACTTTGCAAACTAATATCAATGAAAAATTGATTTTTATATCAAAATGAATTTTATTTACGAATCCTGTGGTCTATTATCTCATATCAGAGCTATGGTTATACCAGGAATGGGCGTCTACTTCACGTCCTACGACTTAATGCGGGTATACCTGAGCCAGAAGTTTGAGTGCGTGGACTCCCAGCCCGCGTGGATTCCCGTATTGTCCGGTGGTTTGGCCCGAACTCTGGCCGCAGTTATCATAAGTCCAATAGAAATGATTAAAACTAAGATGCAATCCAAACACTTCTCGTACTCACAAGTGGGTCGTGCGGTCAGACATATGGTGCGCACACAAGGCTACGGCTCGCTGTGGACCGGCATTAACGCCACGATCCTCAGAGACGCCCCCTTTTCATCAGTCTATTGGTTAGTCTACGAGAAGATGAAGAGACAACTGAACGCACCGATAGAGCCGCCGGTGTCCGTTAGCTTCGTGTGCGGCGCCACCGCCGGAACGGTAGCCGCGCTGATCACCCATCCCTTCGATGTGGTCAAAACGCACCGTCAGATTGAATTGGGAGAAGTGAGTCGCCACTCAACACATCACTACAAGACTTCAGATATTTTAGCCAATATTTACAGACAGAATGGCTACAGAGGACTGTTTGCCGGTATATCCCCGCGTGTTATGCGTATCGCACCGGCATGTGCTATAATGATCACCACTTTTGAATGTGGAAAGGCTTACTTTAGACAATATAATGACTCGAAATTAGGATAATTTGTTAATTAGTTTTAAAGTTTAATTTAATATATATTTTTAGAGCTATTTTTTATAAAATAATTGAATTGAAATTTGTTATAAATCTTGTAATATTGAAAATTCTGAATTCAATTGAAGTAAAATATTAATTGCCAAATGAATATCAAAATAAATTTTTACCGGTAATTGAAATAATAATCTTGATAATCAAGTAAGTATGAAGTATCACAACATTTATAAAAGTATTTAAATCATCAACCTACCGTATTTATAATTTAAAAAAATTAAACAAAATTATATTGCATTCATTTTATTAACTAACATAAATTGATTTACACTTTTTTTAAATAACTTAACAAACATTTAAATAAAAGTATTTATAATTTTGAGGTAAAACACACATAGAGGCCAAAACAAAACTCAGTTTTATTACCAGTACAATTTAAATGCGAGAATCCTTTGGAAATAATAGTTAACACTAAGAATATCCTTATATTTAGTATCCCTTTCCGTAACTAATAATCTTTCCATAACTCGCTTCCTGACCATAGCTGAGGTCATCGCCACCATAACCGCCATGGGTTGAGATATACTTGGGCTCAGAGACCTCATAGGATTTGGTGATGACTGGGGTGTAGGTCTTGTAGGTCCTGATGACTGGTTTGGCGATCACCACCTTCTGGTAGACGGGAGTGATTTTGGAGGATCTATAGACCTCAGTGTGTCTGATGGGCTCTTCGTAGCGGATCTTCTTGGTTATCACTGGAGCTACAACTTTGGTGTAAGTGGTGTACGAATGGTCATCACCTTTGTTGTAATCGGATGACAAAAGTATGGCTCCCTTTCCATAGTCATCACCGCCATAGCCCTCATAGCCTCCATCATAACCACCATAGCTATGGGAAGGGATGGCAACGGCTACTGCCAAAAGAGCTGACAATACGACCTAAGAGTGAATACATAATTAAATTAATACACAATTAAGTAAACTTTTATCCAAAAAGATTTAAATCCATACAAAGGTATTCATATTTTTGGTTTAGAAGTTTGTGTTAACACTGAAAACACTTTTACTGATAAGATTTGATTTGATTCTGATATCGATTTTGTGATCGCTTTTTATACTAAAGTTTTTACCATAATTTGAGTTTTTATTTGTCTTTTTATGTGCACAATAATCCTTGACTTTTTATAAAAATTAGTTTTAATTGTCATTTAATTTAATTTGACTTTTGTTTTGTTTAATCACTAAATTATATTTGGTGCGAAATGTATAGCAAAAATAGCAATCGATAGCAAATCAATTTTTGGAAAACACCACAACATTCAAAACATAAATGGTTTATGCCCTCAAGTATAATATAATTAATATTTGTTTATTAAATTGTTATGCTAATTGTATGCCTTAGGTAACTTCAATATCAAATATATTAATATATGTATCGTTATTATATTTAATTATTATATCAATTAAACTCTAATATACTGAATAACATGTATCAATTGTGGGAAGAATGGTTATAATATTTATAATTTTTTAAATTAAAATATTATTTATTGCTCATCAAAGTGGTATAGATAATAAAATGTGATAATTTTTCTAACATGATAACTCGCAAATCAGATTTTAAATTGAAAAATGAAATATTATATAAATAAACTGAATATAGAATAATTTTTAAATACGCTAAATTGAAAACCTATTAAAGTAATGTTTTATTAATTATTACAGTAAACATTAGTCTTACAGTATATTCATTTATGTTTATAACAATAATATAAGTCCGAGTATATAAAATTATTTAAACCAAGGTATAAAATAAAATAATTTGTGTGTAAACTTCAATCCAACCTTATAATATCTAAAATAATGGTCATTTAATGTCTATTTAATTGGTATTTAATAATGCATTCTAATGTAAAGAATATGAAATATAATGTAAGTTTTCATGTACTTTAACAAAATTAAAAGAATTATACAATTTCTATTTTTGAATTATTAAAGTAAAATGCAATATATCTTACAAAATACTGTAGTTTGTTAGTTATATCTTAATTATATTAAACTCTAATTAAAATATACTTGTAAGCCGAACAATATACATAAATTAAAAATAATAATTATGCCAACACTAAGATTTTATATAATTTGCATTTATTTTTGGAGGTTTTCCTAATTATTTAATAATAATGAGAGAGAGAGAGAGAGAGAGAGAGAGAGAGAGAGAGAGGTTTTAGAACTAATCAAGGTTGTAATATTCCAAATGCAGATTATATGAGTAATGCTAAATGAGAAGTCCTTGGGTGACCCTGGATTATAAACTTCATAATCTTCAATAATAATTACATTTTAATATAATATTTAACATTATTAAGGGAATATTATTGAAAATATAACAAAAATTTGTTAATAAAAACCTCATTTTCATAATAAATACTTGTATTAATAACAGATCGCAAACGATTAGCAAGTTTATTTGCTATAACTTTGAGTTTGATATTCAGAAAATTGATTGAAAACCATATTTATTTGGATAATAACTGCACTAAAAAAAGAAAGTTCAGCAAAAAAATAGTAAAACAAAACAAAAAATACTACTCAATATCACGACAGATATTATTCACTTCATAGTGAAACTCGTTTGAAAGTATTGAAAACATTTTGCAAATACTGTAAGAATGTCATAATAAAAACCAAAAATACTTGAGACCCTTGAGAGCCACACCTGTATTTTAATTATAGTGAGAAATTGATTATTATATTCAATATTACTATTATTATGATAATATCAATTGATATAACAAAAGACTCTTTGATAAAAGGAGTGAATTTTACAATACATTTATTAAGCTATATTGTAAAATTTATTATACTGTATATACCATATAAGTTACAAACACTTTTGTTCATTATTTTATCGTCAAAAAGTTTTAAATTTTAAAGTGGATGCTGTTTATGAAAAAATCAATATTGCATTTAAAAATATTTTTATATTTATATTTATATAAGTACTTCGTATTATAAATTAGGCATAAACTTGAATTATTCATAAATCATGTAAATAAAATATAAAATCATAATGAGATTTAAATTAATACTTTGAATACAAAATTTTAGATCTATTTTAATATACATGATATTGTGTGCAGAATATTAATTAATTATTAAAATCTATTTTAAATTAACAAATTTTTTGCATTAATGTATTAATTATATTTAAATCAAAGCATATGACCATAACCATGTTATACAACCTTGCACATCTATATGACCTAATATTACATATCAATTAAAATTTTAAAATCTCTACAAATTAGCGTGTCTTCAGAGGCTATCAAGATTTGAATGTCTTTTACTAAAACATTTTGATTACCGGTTAATATATTGAAAAATTACACATTAAAAGACGCCTTAAAAAACAAAACAAAAAGTTTTGAAAGTTTCTCTCATTTCCCTGAATATTAATTTGTTATTACAATGAATAATATTCTAAAAGCAATAAATGACTTGAGATTATAATAACGGAATAAAAGTAAATTCAATGTCAATAATCTGATCATTCAATTGGGGACTACTTTTTATTTTATTTTTTATTCAAACTCTTTTATCTCCTCCTTATTGCTCATTATAAATATACTTTTGCGGTTATCATTGCGTCAATGGTTTGGATAATAAGAAAAATATAAAATAAGAGTTTAATCCTTGGATTTTCGGAAAACATTCTCTCTCTCTCT